TCATGGCACCCAAGGGAGGAAGGAATAGATGTATACCAAGCACTCAAAAGCTAGTGGCCTTTTTCCATTGAAACCCCTCAGCTCAGTAAAACCTTTGTAGCCATCCTGCAAAAGCGTAATACAACAAAGTATATAACTCTGTTGCATTAATTTTGCCCCATTTGCCACTAATACAGATTGTGGCATTGACTCTGAATCCTTTACTCTCAACCCCCAGGATCATCACTGTCTGTACTTTTGTGGTGTGTGTGCAAAGCCACTTGTCATTCCCCCTGTCAGGGCCAGTGCAAAGGTCTTATGCCCAACCCTGAATCTATGATACAACTCCTACCCCCAAATATATGATATGGAACCCACCACTCTACTACACCACAATTTTCTTAAGATAGTATTCATATAACATACAAATTTTATTGTAACATAATTATGTACTATAAAGGACTATATACAATATATGTGAACAATTCAACTTAAAAATTGAAAATAAATACAATATATCTAAATACAAATTAGAGATATGTCATAATAGATCATTACATCTTAAATAAATCAACAACCTTTTGCAACAATTTTTAAAATCAACTTGACAATTTCCTTGTTAAAATGTTGAATAATTTTAATACATTCAACATTATAAATGAAAAGTAATGAATTTTATATAGTGTTCTTTTAGGTCTTAGCATGAGCAAAACAAATTCACAGATTTGGACAAAAAAATCCCAGGATGACATCAAAATCTGCAAAAATCTTTCATGCTTTAATAGTCAGTCATGCTTAGTTTAATTTGTAACATATATAAATGTAGGCAGAATAAACCAAATGTTGATAAAATAGAAATGTCACAAAGCACTGCCTGGGGTCCCCAATCAGGTTTGCACCACCACCACTACCCCAGTTGGAGGCCGGGGTTAGTATGCACTGTTCTTGCCTCATGTTCATATTCTGCTTCTAGTCAAAGATATTCTAATTAAAAAAAACAAAACAAAGCATACCAGACTCCTCCGATAAACTAAGTGTCTCATTATTGAAGTATTTTTTTCTCTTCGCCATGGATGACATGTCCTTGGCTGTGGCTTCCAGCTCATGTCTGGCCACTTTCAAGAAGCTGCATATTTCCAAGTCATTGTAGTTGGCAGTGCTATGAACACAGTATTCCTTTTCATTTCCTGTATCAGACTGAAAGTTATCATATTTAAACCATAGCTTGGGGAAGAGATGGGTTCATACAATTCCCAATGGTATCTGTGTCAAATGGATAAAACAAACAGTTGGAATTCAAACTCAGTTCACCCCTCTCACTTTCCAAGTCACTATGCATTACACTAACAACATATCTATATATTAATTTACTAAGCATAGCTTAAATGTGGCACAAAGCTGAAAGTATGGAACACCCAGTGAGAAACAAACTCACTACTCAGTCATAATTGATCTACTATGACAAGCTTACTAACCATTACACCACATAGAAGTGCATATACAACACATTTATATAATTCAATACTTTTCTATAATTTGGCACTTTTAAACATTTATTATATACTTTGACTTGTATTCTGCTTTGGTTATTATCATAGATATCATCTTGAGCATGTTTTCATGTATGTACATGTATGTGTATATGTATGTATATATGTCTCAGTGAGGGAAACTAATCATTACTTACCACTTCAAGCCGGCCACACCCCCATGTTTCTTGCCAGATAGAAATTGTGTGTGCGTCTGCTTCCTTTTTTATGGAAGAGCGCACATTGCTGGTGAATTAGAAATTACCTGGGATTGGACTATAAATTGCCAAGAGAAATTGCAGTGTGTAGTCAGAAGGATGGAAAAAATTGTAGCTAACGGAAGGTACACAAGTCGATACCCAAACAATATTGGCTAGGTCATCCAGGAGAGGGGGTATGATGTTGAAAGACCTGAAACCCCTAATAAACCTTGGCTAGAAACATCACTGATGATGTGTACCAAAGCATCAAATAGATGTATTTTATGAGATAGATATCATCTTCAGTTATTATCACAGATATCATCTTCAGGTGTCTAATTTTTGACTGTTAGGAAATAACTTCTGTGAGCTGATTAGTGTGTTATTCTACAGATTATTTCTTTTCAAATCCAATGTAAAATCATACAAAGAAAAAATACAGAAGTAAATGGTGTATGCATCATAATCATCAGTCACATCAGTAGGTGTGGTTGTAGGCTTGCTCCATAGCTAAACCCCTGACCAGCTTCCTCCATATATCTCATCTGTGTGCCAATGCCCGAGTCCCTGTAAATGATCTTCTAGTCCCAGCATTAGAAGTGACATGTTATGGAACCATTCCAGGCATGTTCTACATAGACCACATTACAAATGATGCAGTGCAAAACAACATCAAATATGAAACAGGCTCATTGGAAGTCCTCAGCGATGGAGGTTGCACCATCAAAAACTTGTCTGCTTGACAAAGAAGAGGAACTCATCAGTCTAGTGAAGAACTTGAAGTTATAGCATGGAGATTAATGTCGAAAAAAAAACAACAAAAAACAAAATCATAACAAGCAATGAGAAAGGACTTTCAAGTAAGATAAAAGTTGGTGGTCAGGAACTTGGGAGTGAGACAAAATATCTTGATTTGATTATTAGCATAGAGCAGGGTTTCCCAATATGGGTGATATTGTCCACTGGTGGGCAGTTTCAATTGTTAGGTGGGCAATGAAGTTTCAATTGTTAGGTGGGCAAAGTAAATGGTAGGTGATTGGAAATTTTGGTGGGCAATATAAGATTTTGAATATTTGTTTAAATTTTTGTTAGCACTTGCAGCAACATAAAGCTAAATTATATATATGGTTTACAATGGTCAAGTTTGTTTTCATTTCTTTTTTAATATAGGAGTAGCAGCAGCTGCTACATAAGTAGTGTTATTTGTTACTTCCCTTTGGTATTTTTTTTTATTGCATAACAAAGTCAGTTTATGAACCAGTAGCAAACTTTTACCAAACAATTTTGATACACTTTTGAATATTTACTATACAGATGGACATTGGAAAATGTTTCCATGTGAAAGTGGGCAATGATACAAAAAAGGTTGAAAACCCTTGGCATAGAGGGTTCCAGAATAAAAATAATTTCAAGAGCACCACAAGCAATTGCAGCTGTTAAAAAAAATATCTGGAAAAACAAGAACATCTGCTTGAAATCAAAGATCAGATTATTGTTTTCATTGGCTTTCTTAATCTTTTTGCAAATCTTGGCCATTAACAACAGAATTACAGTGAAGAATCAAAGCATTAGAAATAAATTTCTACAAAATCATCCTTGGTATCTTCAATATATATTGCATCACAAATGATGCAGTGCAAGAAACCATCAAAGAAGAAACAAGCCCATTAGAAGATGCCATGATCACTGTCAAGAAGGGAAAGTTAAAATAGTATGGACACACCATAAGAGTTAACAATCTTTTCACTGCTATCCTACAAGGTACCATCTTAAGTGAAAGAAGGAGAGAGACAGACATAGGAAAAAAACTGGCTGACAATTTCATTGAGTGCATACACATATTTTGGGAAAAAAAAAATGAAAAATACCATTATAGGATTTAAACAGGATTTTGGCTTTTAACTTCTTCAGAGTTATGAAATGCATGATGATTAAAGTATTTTCAAAATAAGCATATATGATGAATTTCAACAACAAAAAAGAAAAAGAAAGAAGTGTTTTTCTCATCTTTGTTATTGTTATCATGTTTTGGCTGTTATACTCTCCAGCAATTTTGAACTGAACCTTTTATTTAATATATGGGGATATATTGTTTTCATACTGCTGTCCATATCAAGGGATATCTCATCTTGTTCTTATTTAGTATTTAGTACTAAACTCACACTTACTTTTACCAATGTTATATACCACGTATGGTTGCAAGAGAACAACCAGAAATAACAAAGTACTCCCAGTGAGACAGAAATAAAAAACGAGACAGCATATGCTAAAATTAAATTCTTTGTATTGTTGGCAGAATGTCTCTTTGTGGGCAAGGGAAGCAGCCTGGAGGATGGTTGTGTATGGGCTTGGTGTGGAAACTTGTGTCAAGTCCTGAGAGGCCATTGATGAACTCTGTGATTGCTTGCTTGCCCCCTTGAATGTTATGAGCAGGTGCTTTTAAGCAGTTAGGGTGAATACATGACTCAGCATTTTTTGTCATGCTTTTGCTTTTAGTGGCAACATTCATGATAGGCTGCAACATTTAAATTGTATCTTATATTTTTGGGTAGATATGTTTTGTGAGCTGGATGCATTGCTTAGAACCTCTGCACAGAGTGTGACTTGTTTATTTTTAATTTTACTTTTGTAGCATTCACATCCTGCTAACAGGTTTTGTTGTTGAATGAAACAGAAAAAGATATAATTTGAAGCAGAGTATAACACAAAATTAATGAACTAATGCCTTGATCCACTCGGCTATTGTCCTTAAATAAGGTGTACAGTTTAAAATTCCATGAAATTTGTTATGATCAACATGCACCTAATGAAAGTTGTAAGGTACAACAGCCAAAACATTGTAATAACAAAGATAAGGACAGTTGTGGAAGTGTAAATAATGATAACTCCTCATCCCAAAAATTCAGAGAGAAATAAAAATAGACATAGTAATAAATTGCAATCTCTATCTAAACTCTTTGCATTTGAAATATTAATCTCTAGTTTAAAAAGCTTTCCAACCTGCTATTAATTCTTTTTTTAATTATTAAAATAATTTCTCGTTTAATTGTTTTTTTTTACTCTTTGAATTATATATTTGGGTCGGCTAACGAAAAAGAATAATTTTTTCCGACATATCACGTGTCGGAAAAAAATTACTTTTAAAAAGTGTGCCGCCTATGCAAACAGTTTGAAAAGCTTTGGTTTAATCTAACAAACAAGTTCTCGCAGTTGTGAGCATCCGTAGTCAACAGTTAACATACTGCTCACCACAACAGAAAAATCTGTGCTGAGCGATATATGAAATTGACGCATGCGCTTTAGCCGTTTTCAATTCACGTGTATTTACACGGGCGTCGTAGATGAAAAAAGGGAGGGGTGAGAGAGAAAGGAGGAGTAGAAGAATGCGTTGGTTGCTGTCTGACACCACATTTGTTTTTCCTACTCTAACCGCAACTTGAGAGCTCGCCTGCTACCACTACTATGGGACTATCTCTCACTGCTTCCCAAGCTTTTACTCCCACTTCGCCTTAGAACCTTTCTCTCACCACGACTAAGTCAATACTATGGCGATTGATTATGGTGGAATAGGGAATGTTTTACCGAAAACTCCGGTAGAAAAAACAAATCTATATCACTGACAATCATTTTATAACAATCAGCATAAAAAAAATATATGCATCTGGATTAGTAAAATATTATTGAATTTTTATTTAATTTGTAAAATCGGCTTGAAAGGAATTCTTTGACAAAAAACAGCCGATATTTTTTTGACAACACGAAAAATCGTGGAAAATAATTTTTTTCTTGCAAAGGATAAATGGATATGAAATATATTCATTAAAACATTTGGATATGGTATTTATTTATTCTTCGGTACGGATTATAAATATCTGCCTGCTCTTGTAAACAGTTTGTGTTTGACACTAAAACCTTTGTGGGCTTTTTTTTTTTGCTCGATTTTCTCTCATGCATTGGATAATAATGTGGTTATATCACAGCATACGGAAAGACACGTTATTATAAAAAAAAAAAAAAATAGAAAGGAAGCAAAAAAGTAAGTATTTTCCTAATTTCGATCTTTCTTTTATTGTCTTTTTATTCTGGATGCAAATAAATTGTGCAACCCAGTCTGAGTAAAAGAAAAAGGTCTGCTTTTTTTCCCCTTCTTTTTGGTTCCTAATCATTTTAAAAATGTTTTTGTTGTTTTTTTTTTTTATCGTTACTTTTTTAAAATTTAAATGCGATTTACCTTGATGTATTGTTAAACGATTTAAATTTTTGCCTAAAATATATTTTCCTGGAAAAGGCTGTTTTTTTGCTCGTATTAGTTTTATTGTAAAAAGATGGCTGCGCATCACGTTTTTTTGTCGTCTGCGCCTTTATTTATTATTGTAAAAGATAAAACAACACGCAAAATATATTTTTCTAAATACGATTTTTTTTCTCCATATTATTCGTTTTCTACCATTTTTGTGCTATTTGTAATAATTGAAGAAAAACTGTGGTATGCATCATTTTAGGATAAAAAGACAAAAAAAAAAAAACAACTTTTTAATGAAAAAACTCTTGGCTTAAAAGTTAAAACATTACTGAATATTTATTTAAAAATCTGCAGTATGACCTTATTTTTTATTTATCTATTTATTTTTGTAAGTACTTGTTTTGTTTTGATCACATACTATTTGCTGCTCCGACAGTTATCAGGTGGCATTGCACGGGTCTTACAGACGTATGACGATCGATCTTTTTTAAATACTGACTTCATAAAAGATGCTGTTATTTATTATTGGTAATCTTTATTCATTTTCCTTTTGACTTAATTAAATACACAATAATGAGATGTTTAAAAATTAACATTTTTACAAAAATTAGCCCGAAAATGACAATGCTAATAATTTTTCTTTGAGTTGACTTAAGTACTCACACTAGAAAGAGTTTCTGTTTATTAAACCTTATTTTATTTATTCGTGGCTGATATGCAAAAATAAAAATAGTCAGTGTCTTTTGATTATGGACAGGGAACCTGCCGATCGAAAGTTGAAAAACAAATAGTAAATATTTATTTTTTAGTACTTAAGTCTAACATTGATGACACTAGAGAAATTCGTGTCACCTGATGATTATCGGAAAACTAATCGACAATGATGCACCAGAAACAAAAATCTGTAATTAACCTGTTTTAAAATTTCTAATATTTTCTTTTGTTTCCACTTTTTTCATTTAATGTTTCTACGATAAAAGATTCTAAGAGAAAAATGCAATCCTTATTGTTATGTGATGATGATTGAGCTCATATCGATTTGCAGTGATTTAGTAATTGCTTAGAAAAATCAATCAATATTACTTCTTTTTATTATGACACTTAACAAAAAAAATTAACGTTGATCGGATGATTTACAAAAAAGGTGTAATGTTGATCGGAAGAAAAACGCAATTTTGAAATAAGTGACTTTCAGCAGTTGTTGATTTTTTTTAAAATTATTATTGGGTGTTGAAGTAATGTAAAAGTACATGAAAACTGAAGAAAGTAATATACAAAATTTTCAGTATAAATTTTCATAAGCAAAATAGTGCATAAAATGTATTTGTAAAACTATCAGCTTTTTATGAGGTAATAATGCAGATAAAAAACGTGGAGACGTGTTGTTCGATGCACACTTTAAATGAAAAAAAAAATGAATTTCCTATTTCTTTATTTAATCTTTTTTTCTTTGTTTATTCTCTTTTTTAAACCTACATCAACTTCGAATATTTTTAAAATATATTGTTTTTCAAGTTTGTAAATAACGTGACCACTGCTCTTTTTCTGTTTTAACTTTTGTTTTGTTTACTACTTGTTCCGTGAAATTAACTCCGATCGTTATTGAGAAATCTGATAGGTGAATCATGAAAAAGAAAATAAAACCTCGAAAATTAAAAAAATTAAACAAGAAGTGTAATGTAAACAAAGTTAGCACAAAATTCGCAGATGAAAGGGAATTTTTGACATTTTTCATTTTTAACATTTTTCATTTTTAACTTTTGTAAAAATAGTTTACTTTCCTAAAAAAAAAAAAAAAAAGTTTGTATAAAAAAGAGTGCATTATAATTGGGAGTCCGATATTTTTCTTCGTGATTAAAAAAAACAAAAATAAAAACTAGTTTCATAAAAAATGAAATTGAAGATTATTCGTTTCGGACACTTTTTTTTTTTTTTTTCTGAGTTTCGATTAAATGTCCGAAATAATTTTTTGTTTGATGATTGTCTATACATTTTCAAATAAAAAAATGCTTTGTCATCTTTAACAAGGTTTTATACTTTTTGGAAGTCTTTTTTTTTAATATTCAACCTCGAAATTGGTGTTGTTTTTGTTTATTGTTTCGATAACTCTCTACTCACGTGTCAAAACAGGGGACTTCTCTACTCACGTCACGTCTCTGCAGTTTCTTTATGCAAGAAATGAAACCAATTAGTTTTGTTGACTCCAAAGCTCTTCTCTTTTTGCATGTTTATTGTTTCTTTTTCTTTATTTAAGTAATTAACATAATTTTTCGGAAAGAAAAAGGTATAAGGTACTTTTCTTAGAGTTAGTATGTAATTAAAATTCACAAAGTGTAGTTTTACTTTTTCAATTTTGATTGTTTTGGTGACGCAATATTTTAGAGATTTAACCATTAGCTCATCTAAAAAAAAAAAAAAATAGTTCGTTGATTTCTTTCATATATTTTAACCGAAATAAGCTACACTTGTTTCATTTGTTTTTGCCACTCGTTCCTATCGCAAACAAATGATCCATTTTTTTTTCCAATTCATGTTTGTTTACTTTTGTTTTTTAAAGTTAAATGAATGCTTTTTTTTTTTTTTTTTTTTAACACAACGTCATAAATTGTCCGTAACAAATGAATGAGGACTATACAGATAAAAAAAGCAAATCATATTGGAAGTAGTAAAAAAAAAACGCTGTGTAAAAAAAAAAAAACAAAAAAAAAAAACGTGTTCGTATTCGTAGGAACGGTAACAAAAATGAACTTTAACACGGTTTTTGAAAGTTTACTTTACTCGCTCATTTATTTCAGTTGTCACGAAAAAAATATAAACAAAAAAAGTAAAACTGAAAGAAATGATTGTGCGTCATCAATCAATAATGGTGAAACGTTCCTGTTTTTTAGTGTTTTTGAAACTCGAGAACTGAACAATAAACTAAAAAGCCTCATGTTTGTTTTACTAGTGGTTGTGGTGGTGAAAAAATCGCTATTTTTCCCAGTAGGAAAAGACTATCGTTGATAGGTTCATTTTTTTTTTTCTTTCTTTCTTTAATCCGCATATTTTGAACAAAACGATTTAGTTAGCCTTTTTAGTCTTTCCCAGTATTGTTTAGTTTCTAGCTGTTTTTTGTTTTTTTTTTGAATTAGTGAGCAACTGAATATCGTTTTCTGATATTGTTTCAGACGTCTAGTATTGAAAATTAAAACTTTCTAACATTTACGATGAAAAATGTTGTAAACATTTTTTTTTATTCATGTTTAAATGGAATTTCGAAACGAGGTCAATTATATTATTTACCGATCAGTCTTTAAAATGCCTTGTTTATTCTCTCAATTTTTTGACACTATTTCAAATAATCAAAAAGAAAAAAGTTTTGATAAATTCTTGCTGTGAGGGTAATAAGCAATGGGCTGTCTTTACTTGGAATATTCAAATAGTTGAGTTATGGATTACAAATATTTTTCAACATTGATAATAGTTTGGTTTGTCACACATGTAGAACTTAGTGCACTGAAGATCAAGTGACAAAAACAGACAGTAGTCAAAGTATTATTTCTCTTGAAATTTTCCTCAAATTTTAGAGTACTCACCAAAAAAACTTTTTAACCGTCAAATTAATCATTTTCTGTATATGTCATGTTCACGAAGCTTAAAATGTTTTTGTTTGTGTTTTTTTTTTTTTATATACTATTTCTCACCCAGTACAAGGCACTAGAGCCACTCAAGGTGGGGCATTAATAAGTGACGTTATTGTAAGAACATAAAGGGATGGAGTTTCACAATGCAATAGTTTTGGAGAAGTTGAGTTGAACTTCCTCTTTACCAATGGAATATAAAGGGAATGAGGAGTCAATTCCATGTACATGGCCTGGTGTGTCCAAGCTGTGAAGGTCTGGACTGGTGGAACCAAGAAATGTAGTTTGCCTGAACGTCTGCCATTGCAAATTAGCAATATAGTAGTGAGAGGCTAGCAGCATTTCATGTGGGGAGTGGGTAGAGTGGAAAACAATTCATCACTTACAAGGCTGTGCAAACACTTTTGTTTGAACTATGTCAAGGGTGGAAAGTGAGGATTGGACAGCTCTAGCCCTGATGTAGCAATAATACTCTTTTTGTTGGGCTGATCTGGTTCTTGTAAAGATAAAACATGACAGAAGGAGTCTGGTACTTTCTAGAGCAGTACAAGGAACTGATCATTTGAGGAAAAATATAATGTAGATTTATTTACCTGATGATTTTATTTTAACTGACCATGAATCACTTTTTCTTTTTTTAACTTAACTGATAAATAATCACAAATCACTTTTATTGGTTTAGTTGAATGAAATGCACACAATTGATAATCCATTTATTTGCAGATCCACTGAAAAAAAACAATATTGTTTCAATGACCAGAAGAATTAACTTAGGTTAAAAAACCAGGAAATCTTCCAATTTCAGCCTACAGACACTCTCTCTATCCCCCCCCCTACTGGACTCTCCTATCATTTTCAATTTATGAGGGTGCAGCAGTTCAGATCTTAGAACTAAACAGCCAAACTATAATTTGATTGTAGTCGTGAAGGCTTGTACAGAATCAACCACACTTTTTGGAAGAAGAAAATACAGAGAAGTGGTGCACATAGTGTGCCACAAGGTCTCCAAACAACCTTCTTCAGGTTTTGAATTAAGAATTGTCTTTCTCCTAGGCTAGGTACCAACTAAAGCCATAGGGCTCAGTCTGTCCTGCTATTTACTGGGGAGGGGGGTATTTGTATGTAAGTGAATGTAATGAACTTCAATGGAATTCAAACTCAACTCTTTGATTT